AAAAAAGAGAGAGAGAGAGAACGGGGGTCCTGGCGTGGTCGTTTGCCCCGGGGCCCGTGCTGGCTCTCGATGTTCCTGCACATGATAGTCATTGAGATGATATTTTATAACAATGTCCACCATGAAATTTGGCCTGTAACATTGTACACCATGATATTTGGCTTGTAACATTGTCCATCATGAAATTTGGCGTGTAACATTATACACCATGATATTTCACCTATAACAATGTCCACCAAGATATTTCACCTGTAACATTGTCCACCATGATATTCCACCTATAACAATGTCCACCATAATATTCCACCTATAACAATGTCCACCATGATATTTGGCCTGTAACATTGTCCACCATGATATTTCACCTATAACAATGTCCACCATGATATTTCACCTGTAACAATGTCCACCATGATGCCTTTGTGGATGTCTCAATCATGGTCTGGTATGGTATCTGCAAGCAGGGCTGTACAGACTTCTATGTGGTGGATGGAGGATCCCTGACAGCAAATCCTTTTGTAGATGAGATCCTGTTATCCATTGTTAACCCTTTTGATGGTGCTGTTGGAGGTGAGTTTGTGTATTAGCAGGATAACACCCGTTCTCAGGATCACACAGCAATTTTTCCAGGATGAAGGAATAGATGTAGTGAACTGGCTTGCAAAGTCACTGGACCTAAGTCTGAATGAGTGTGGGTGGGACTTGCTAGAGAGAGCAGTAAGAGAGAGAGACAACCTACTACAATTGTTTAGAAGTTCAGAGTAGCCTCCACCCAGATGTAAACTGTGCTGCTCTAGCAAGTCATCCAAAATATCAACAGTATGGAGAACAGGAACAGAGAAGTCAAACAATAAAGGAGGACCTACCAGCTACTAAAGTCTCATTTTGTTCATCTCAATAAATAAGTTATTTCTTCTTTGATACTTGTGCAGCCAAATATTTGCATTTTTGTTTGTAAATTTTGCTTTTTTCTTATTTGTCAATGAATTTTTTGTCTTGCTTGGTATTGTCTACCTGTGATATTTCTAATAAGTTTTGTCAGTATTGATCATTCCTCTGTGTTTTTGTTTCTTCAAATTTTGAAGAAAAACAAATCAAAGCCTTTACTTGTGTGAGTAGTGTATAATGTTATCATTTTCTTGAATTAATCTGTTCACTATCACTTACCAATCTTATAAAACACCTCAATCAGATTCCCTTTAACTCGTCTGTTTCAACAGAAATCAATTTAAGAGATTTTAACCTATCCTCATAAAACAACCTTTCAATCCCAGTAGCACTTATCTGAACCCTTTAGAACAATTCAACGTCCTTTCTAAGGACACAATACTCTAAATGTGGCCTTTCACTAATGACTTATACAGCAAAATTATAATCTCTTTAGACTTTATTCAATATTTCTTTAAATATAAATTACAATCCTATTTGTCTTACCACTTATTTGATTGGCTTAAGAGACTGATTAATGAAAAGCTATCTGTCATTTGTTTGCCCAACTCACCAAATAATCTAAATCCTTCTGTAAAGCAGTCTCCTCATAGTCAGTAGCACCCAAGACCTTAATATCATCAGAAATTTATTGACCATTCCTTCATCTACACCACTGATGTAAACCAAAAAGTACAAAGGCCCTAACAATGAGTCCTGGGGTATCCCACGTGTGACATTAAACCAGAAATGGTCATTCTTCAGATATCAAGGACTGCTTTAAGTTTATAGCATTATCTGATGAAGAGGCACATTCATCAATCACTACACATGATTCTGGGTAATGAATTTTTGTATTTCCCAAAATTCCTTAATGTGGATATCTTATCTTAGATGGATGAAGTCATCTGGATTTAAGTTTAAATCTATATCACTTAGCAAGCGTCTTGTTTGCCCTAGTGAAGCTATAATGGCAAAATGTTGACTTAATTAAAAACAGTTATGTTTTCAGAGTAATAGGTTGTGTTTTATTACCTTATTAACAGTGAATACGACTTTCCAGTTCACACTACAATCACAAAATTTATATTCTCATAAATTTAACTTAGTTCAGATTTAGTATATTTAAAGTTAAATTCTGGGTTATGACTATAGCTTATACTGTGAGAAAGTTATATTATATTTCTTTGACTTTATCAATTTGAGTATATTTCATTTTCAAACAAAAATATATTAGTATTACTAAAAATGAGAAAACACACACAATAATGCCAGTTTAAAGGTTAAGATCTATATATATCCTTATATGGCCATTAAGGGCCAACCTTAAATCAACACTTTTTATACTGCATGATAACCGATAGCCTAATCTCAAGCTATTCCATTGCAATGGTAATACGTCATCGGGGTGTGATACTTTAATAAGTAGGCAACGACCGACTGCTGGGATCCACATTTTCTTCAGCCCGCGATACTGTTAATAATCTGAACACAGATATCATAAAACTAAATAATACTTGGACTACTCATGTATCTTGCGATATTTAATCGATAAAATTAATACACCATGTAAACCATAATTAAAAGTTATTGCTCCAAAGACAAATATATTTTTCTACAGTTTCGAATACAGATGTTCGAGCACTCATCGTGTTTAGATTCTGAGATTCTGTATTAACATTTTTAGACCTTAAAATTTTAAATCACAAAATAAAGTTATCAATGTCTTATTAACATAGACCAACTTTTGGCTGTGGTTTGAACAAATGTGATCGAAACATATAGCAAAAATCTGTTCTTGCAAGTTCGAATAAAAAATAACTGTCGTTTAAATGGTGTATTATTTTTATTAACTAAAGAGTAACGCTTACCTACTTATAAGTTTTATCACACACAAGAGTTTAATAAAATCAAGTAGGGAACTGAGCTAAATTGGAGTTAAGAAATAACACAGCGGAATTTAATATCAATAAATAATTTACTCACCATACTCTTCAGCGTTGGATACAACTACTACACGGATTTAATAACAAACTATGAATACTGTATTTCCAAATGAGGCCAAAAGTTAACGAACGGGTGCAGCCTCAAAATGGGACAACTTTTACACCGTTAGGGGTCGTTGAAATAATTATTTAATAATTTTAATAATACATAATTTATTGCGAGTAATGATATTGTTATGTTTTTTGTTTGTTTGTTGTTAAACGCAAAGATACACAATGGGCTATTTCTGTTCTACCCATCGCAGGTATCGAAATCCAGTTTTTAGCGTTATACGCTCGAAAATTTATCGCTGAGCCACCGGAGGCGACTACTCTTTATTAAACGTATATACAAAATTATATTTTGCAGAAATTCACTATGAATTATAAACATCTATTTACATATAACATATTTATAGTCAATAGTTAAATCCCAATACTTTGAAAAGAAAGTATTTCTAATATTCAGGACCGCGAACTTACTGATTCAACAACTTTAAAAGGTACTTGTTTGAACTCTATAGTATATTAAGGTAAAACATATCATTGATTTACATTACTTAAACGGTGTCTCCCGTAAAATTCAAAAACAACCAAGCAGCTTTCAAAGGCTACCCTTGTTAGTATCCCGAAAAAAAAAGAAAAAAAAGAGGTTGGTGACCATACTAGCCCCCCCCCCCCCAGTAGCACAGCGGTAAGTCTACGGACTTACAATGCTAGAATCCGGGTTTCGATACCCGTGGTGGGCAGAGCACAGGTAGCCCATTGTGTAGTTTTGTGCTTAATTACAAACAAACAAACAAACCATACTAGGGCTATCTGCATTAGCTGTCCTTAATTTAGCAGTGAAGGCAGCTAGTCAACACCACCCACCGCCACCTCTTTTAATAACGAATAGTGGCAATAGTCACATTATAACGCCCCCACGGCTGAAAAGACGAGCATGTTTGGTGTGACGGGGATTCGAACCCGTGACTCCCAGATTGCGAGTCGAGCGCCCCCTAAACAACTGGTGGCCATGCCGGACCACACATTAATGTTAAGTGCGATTTTAAAATGTGAATAATATAAGTAACACCCTGCCCCCCCCCCCCCCCACGTGGCTCAGCGGTACGTCTGCGGACTCATAACGCTAAAAATCAGGTTTCGATACTCGTGGTGGGCACAGCACAGATAGCCCATTGTGTAGCTTTGTCCTCAATTACAAACAAACAGACAGACACCCTGCTGGCCTGTTGCAGCAACATCTTCAGTCACATGATCAATGAGGAATGTGATGTTCTCAGATTCTGTCGCCATTTACGTTGAATATTCGATTATTAGGCCTAGACTGAGTTGGCATTTATCCTCACTAGAGGGTTCAGTACGTTATATTACAACAATTTTCAATATGCAAGTCACATGACATCCACAACCAATTTATAGTCGTGGTGGAACGGGATGTATCAAAACTATATTGTGGCATTTGTTAACGTTTTGTAGGAATTGTGATGTCGTCGAAAACCGATTGCTTTTGGGAGTATATGTAACATCCCTTTCCGATACAAAATATTCATATACACAGAACATTTGAGGCACCAAGGCCATAAAGAAAAAGATTTTCCACCTGTCGTTTCACAACCATGGTAAGCAACGTGTGAGTCTTGCGACAGGTGAGAATCCACGAACACAATGGTCAATGGCTAAAGCCTTACATATGTCCCAGTTTGGCATATAGGCATACCACGTGTTTGTTACCCTGTTATATTAATACAGAAATTTTTAAAATGTTTGATTTATACAGGTGTATGCAGTTTTCACATTGCAAATTGGCCAAGAAAGTAGCTGTAGCTAACTGGTGTTCTTTATCTTCGTGTGTCACAGAAGTCACGTGGGTAGCGCAAGCACCATGAAAGAATATAGCATTGGTACTTCGTATATGTGATGCTGTGTGTTTCTTCTGCTGTAACAGATTTTTACAGATAAATATTCAGAGAGATTTATATAAAACTCCACAGGCTTTGAGTTCTTTTTAGTCTTAATATTGAATACAAATCTAAAGAGATTATAATTTCATTGTATAGGTCATTGGTTAAACCACATTTAAAGTTTTATGTTCAGTCTCGGGCTCTTCTTATCTTAGGAAGAACATTAAATTGTTGTAAAAGATTCAGAGGAAGGCAATTTTGTTTTTGTTAGTTTTTGAAATTTCACGCAAAACTACTTAGGGCTACCTGGGCTAGCCGTCCCTAACTTAGAAGTGACAGACTAAAGAGAAGGCAGCTAGTCAACACCACCCACCTCCAACTCTTGGGCTACTCTTTCACAAACAAAAATGGGATGGACCGTAACTTCATAACGCCTCCACGGCTGAGAGGGCGAGCATGTTTGGTGGGATTCGAACCCGCGATCCTAAGGTTGTAAGTTGAGAATATATTATTGCAGTTTTCTGTTTTTTCTTATGTGTCTATTGGCCTGAATCTACTGTTGTGTTATTAAATTTAAAAAGGATTTTTTCAGTAATCATCCACGAGTTGAATGACTCATGACGAAGAGGAAGATTTAGTCATTGAAGGGAGGTGGCTGTGTGAGAGAGTATTGAAGTCTAGGAGAAGTTTTCTCCAGGATGAAGAACTTTTGTTGATGTTGTAAGGTCCAAGACCCCCTGTTTCACTGCAGATACAGGCTCGGGAAGGAGAACTGATAATCGACTTCTTCCCCTGAGGATCTATTTCAGTACTTCACTGGCCAGAGTAACAAAACTCCAAATCTTGCCGAAACCAGCCAAGACAGACTGGAGGTGTCACTGGTGGACGAAGTTTGTTTTTCTGGCACGTGAGACAATGGGTTCCAACAAGTTAATTTTGTGATCATGGGCAGAAGTAAGCCCCTCCTAGAAGGTGGATATTCTGCCAGGGTGACCATAGGTTGAACAGAGCCTGTTACACCTCATCGCTTGGTCCCTGAGTAAGCCTACAACACCGTACCTGTGACACTGAGGATGTATCAGACAACTACTGGCCAAGAGCCCAGAAGTAAGAATCTTTTGCCACAAACAAAGGTCCCTGTAAATAAGGTGAAACAGATCTGGCACTTGAATCAATGTGTTCTTTAATTCTGGATTCTAAAGTTCTCGTTGTAGAACCTATATACCTAGAATTACATCTAGGACACTTATATTGATAAAGTTAAATTCAACAGTTTTTGGTAATCTGTTTTTCACATTAAAGAAATTATTAAATCTACATATCGGTTTTAATATAAATATTAACTGAACTTGTGGATATATCCTTATAAGTATTTGATTAAGTTGTTCTCTTTAATTTCAAAAGACTGTGTTCCTACTAATTGGAAAGAAATATACTTTTTCTTTATCAAATCTCTGAGGACAAATATTGTTTGTTCGAGTTGCTCTTAATAACTTGACCTAAAGTTTTAAAAGAAGGTTTTTTTTTAAATCAAGAACAATTTAATCTTATTAAGTTTTTTTGCTAAACTAATAAAGGTACTATTTATGGTTGGAGACGGCTTGAATGGGTAATGAAGAAAAACTTTAATATAAGTTTAACACAACAGCAAATGTACAACGTTTCAACAAGCTTTTGTCATCTCCAACCATTATTAGTCTCAAAGTGGGCTCTTCGTCATCGAAAAGGTTCTATTTATCTTGTATGCACTAAAATCCTAATTAAAGTAACGTCATACTACTCAGGAATAAGGCTAGTATAATTAAAGTTTAAATCTGAAAAGCTTTTCTTATGATATATTTCACATTTAAATTATTTTTAATGAGTACGTTTGAAAATGGTAGTTTAATTCCTTCTTGACGTTCTACTGTAAAACGTTTGTTTTTATGTATACTATTTACGTAATCCAATCCTTCCCAGCGATATGTCTGCGGACTTCCAACGCTAGAAACCGGGTTTCGATAGCCGTGGTGGGCACAGCAGATAGCCCATTGTGTAGCTTTGTGCTGAACTTCTAACAAATAAAGTGATCCAAAAATGTTATGCATATTTTTTCTCTTTCAAAATAATAAAAGTGTTGTCTACATATATTTGGTTTAATAATCATCCATCCAACAGTTATTAAAACTTAGGAACAGATTAGTCAATGATGTGTGTTTCTTATAACAAAGCCACATCGGACCATCCGTTGTGTCCACCGACGGGAATCGAACCCCTGATTTTAGCAGTGTAAATCCGAAGACTTACCGCTGTCCCAGCCTGGGACAAAAATTAAGTGTGTGTGTTTTTATAGCCTAGCCACATCGGACTATCCGTTGTGTCCACCGACGGGAATCGAACCCCTGATTTTAGCAGTGTAAATCCGAAGACTTACCGCTGTCCCAGCCGGGGACAAGAATTAAGTGTGTGCGTGTTTTTATAGCCTAGCCACATCGGACTATTCGTTGTTTCCACCGACGGGAATCGAACCCCTGATTTTAGCAGTGTAAATCCGAAGACTTACCGCTGTCCCACCGGGGGACTAGTCGATGCTGGTGCTAATTTAGATCCCATTACAACTCTACCTGACTGATCATACATCTCTTGATTAAACACAAAATGTGACTTTTTTTTGTGTCTTAAATCCAATTATAAATCGACTTATCTATATCGCGTATTTCATTCAAATGTATATTTGCAAACAATAATTCAATATCAAAGCTAGCATAATAAATTTAAGTGTTATATTTCTTTTACAAACTGACAACTGTATGAAACAGTAACTTCATCGATACTTGACGACTTAACATATTTCATGATTAACATATATGGCATGATTACAAGCACCAGTATTAAATACAGTTAGTCTGTTCGGACATCTTTCCTTATTTACTTTAGGTAACCCATATAAAGGGTCGCGGGTTCGAATCCCCGTCACACCAAACTTGTTCGCTCTTTCAGCCGTGGGGGCGTTATAATGTGACGGCCAATCGTTGGTAAAAGAGTTGGTGGTGGGTGGTGATGTCTAGCTGCCTTTCCTCTAGTCTTTCACTGTTAAATGAGGGACGGCTAGCGCAGATAGCCCTCGTGGAGCTTTGCGCGAAATTGATACCAAACAAACAAACCCATATAAAGTACCCGTGTGTGATCCTGACGGTTTTAACAACTTGTATTTATTCTCATATATTAACCCTT